AATGTTAAGGTTTATAAGTCCCACAAACCTTACCTTGAATGCCTTTCCCCCAGCTGGATGTGAGCAGTGAGTGTGTCAGCTTCAGTGCTGAGCATGCTGCCCTCACACTGTGAGTGACAGTCAGCAGATGGGAGTCTCTGTCCCTCTCTGGAGAGTCATACTGTCACTGCACTCCTCTTCCCCGCATCCTACAGTCAATCTGCTCTCCTTATGAAAAGTGACGTGTCAGTGTCGTTAGCCAACACAGTTGCACAGTCAGACCCTTCCCCCTCCACATTATACTGAAGGCCATTTCTGATGCCTCAACAATGAGTAAGCAAAGCTGCCTCAGCATTCTTTTTCTGCGGTATAGGAGTGCAGAAGGAATTTCTCCCTGAGGGGTGAATTCTAGCTCCACTTCTTCCTGAAATGGAAGATGTCTGTGGATGCACGTGCAGAGGCCAGCTGTTGATTCAGAGTGCTGCTTTCTTTGCTTTGCTGAACCTCATTACAGGAAACATGCCTGCCGTCCACACTTCAGTTAGTTTCAACAACCCTGTGTTGTCAGTGACTTGGTGTTAGTCTACACACAGTGTCCAATTCTTCTACCCAGTCACTCATTCCTTGATATTTAAAGGGGCCCCTATTGTACTTTTTGGGGTCTTTTCTTTCCGGTAGTGTGTTCTATTTAGGGATGCTCCGATCGATCGGTCACCGATCGAGATCGGCCGATATTCACTCTCTACCGATCGATCGGTGCTCTTTAAACATGCCGATCGCGAGAGCCGATCGCATGACGTAAAATACATGACACTTTTCTCTGTGTGCGGCAAAACAAGCTCGCCAAAATGGCTTCACCGGTCTGGCAGTATTTTAAGGTGTCCGAAAAAGACAGTAAAATAGCGGTATGCAACGTGTGTGAAGCAGAAATCCTGCAGCTCCGCCCGCTGTGACGGACCGGTGAGCGGAGCAACACACACTCAGAGTTAGACCTAACACACTAAGCTGTTTGATCTACCTCTGGAACAAGCTAAACTAGTTATACACAGTGTCGGGACTAACGCGGTACAAAGTAACACGTTACTGTAACGCCGTTACTTTTGGCAGTAACCAGTACTCTAACGCATTACTTTTTAAATTCAGTAACTCAGTTACCGTTACTACATGGTGCGTTACTGCGTTAGTTTTTTTATATAGTCAACAGCCAGGCGAACAGAGATGAGAACTGTACTTAAGTACAGTACTTGAGTAAATGTACTTAGATACTTCCTGTGTCACATGCGGAGACGGGCTGTGGGCGTGTTTGTGTTGTTTACTAACAAGACTATCATGGCGGCGGCGGAGCTCAAGTCTAGTTTCTCCACCTGGAGATATCCTCACTATTTCACTTTTGTCGAGCACAAAGAAAATAACGTTTTAGTTAAATGTAAGTTGTGTCTTGGCGGGTCAAAGATCCTATCTACTGCCCAAACCAGTCATTCAAATCTCTTAAAACATCTGCAAAAACAACATGCTGGGACGAAGCTAGTAGCTAAGACCACAGAGACTCAGCCGACGCCACTCCACCTCCACCTAAGCAACAGCGGCTGGATTTTAACCGAGGGACTGCTGGCCAGGGAAAAGTCGATAAAGCCATTGCACGGTATGTTGTAGAACACATGCAGGCTATTGCTACAGCAGAGTCACCCGCTTTCAGGGAGCTAGTTAGCATGATAGCATGTCCGGGCGGCACACGGCATATGGGACGGAACACTTTTTCCAACTACCTGGAGAAAGAATATACAAAAATGGAAAGCCAGCTAATATCGATGCAATCCAGATTGCATATAATGCATGTCAAGTTGATGAACAGATTGTATTATTCTCCAATGTAATAACAGTACTGAAATGAAGGCTATAAGGCAGGGGTTCTCAAAGTTTTGATGAGTGAGGGCCAATTTAGGTACCCAATATTGGATTGAGGGCCGCCCCAAGAAAAAACGGAACACAAATAATTCCAAAACAAATCCTTTCTTTATTGTACTAACCAATTATACATACAGTATACATTAAGAACTTGCAGAGGACACAAAGTTGGATTATCTACAGACAGTGACTAGCTAAAATCGCTAGCTAACTCCCGTTTCTGATTCTGATAACTTACAACAGATTTTCCGCTTAACCGCAACTCGCGAGATGCCTAGTTGCCATGCAACCAGTAGTCTAGCAAACTTTCCACAAGCTGTCATTCATAATTTAGGAATGACAACCCAGAGGGCGCAGTTTTACCATTCTTAAATTCCATTCTGATTCTTACTAGATACGAACCATGGAGGATTAAATATAACGCATGCATTTCAGCGTGTCACATTAACTATCGCGGGCCGCCAGAAACATTTCTGAGGGCCGTCATTGGCCCGCGGGCCGCACTTTGAGAACCCCTGCTATAAGGGCATTAATGGGAGCCCTTTTTTTAAGTAGCTAAAACGTTACTTTTCACAGTAACGCATTACTTTTGGGTGTAAGTAATCAGTAAAGTAACTGAGTTACTTTTGAAATGAAGTAAATAGTAATGGTAACTAGTTACTGGTTTTCAGTAACTAGCACAACACTTATACATATATTTATTCTTCACTGTCGGGTCACTCATTACTGGATCAGTGAGCTGCATGAGATACTGACAGGCTGTCAGGAGAGGGAGAGAGAGAGGGAGAGAGAGGGAGAGAGAGGAGAGAGGGAGAGAGAGAGAGGGAGAGGGAGAGAGAGAGAGGGAGAGAGAGGAGATAGAGAGGGAGGGAGAGAGGAAAAGAGAGCGCTTCCGCTCATTTCTCCCGTGTTATTATCAGTGAATGTAAACTTGAATAATGTACATCATTTGAATGTAATAATTAAGTTGGTTGTTGTTTGTGGAAGCTCCAGTGAATGAGCCCATTAACTGAGTTTTAAACATCACTTTGAATGGAAGATTTAAAGTGATGTTTAAATCTTCCATTTAGCACTCGATCGGTATCGGCCGATACTGATTCCAAAATTGGCGATCGGAGCATCCCTAGTTCTATTGGTTTTTGTGCTAAAATCCCAAAGTTCCCTCCAGAGGGAGTTTCTCTCCCTGGGCTCTGGTTTCAGACAGAGGGTGAAAAGAGGTGCACAGGTAGTATGAGGAAAATAAAGAGCTTTTTGAACATTAAAGCATGAAGACATCATGTCATAGTAGAGGCACATGAGCAAATAGGGCCTCCTTAAAACACAATTGCACCAGAAAGCATTTCAATTCTGTAAGTATATTCCACTCGCAATGGAATTTTTAAATATCAAAATCAATCCACACATCGTCTCCTTCCAAATCCAGGTTCCACAAACATTACCAACAATGCAAAAGTAATCACAGAAATAGTTGCCTGCTGCCAACAGAATTTCTCTTTTTAATATATTCTTGCTACTATTCTGCAATGACAGACTTTTACATTATTTCAGCTCCAAAGTAACTTTCTATTTCCAACAGCTCTTTAATGTTAGTTTGGTCTTAATGTGTTTCACTCTAAATGCACTTGATTGACTGTTCATGAAGTGTGCTGCACGCAGTTAACTCCGCAGCGTAGGGTTAGCATGCAAAACAGGCAGCCTCATTCACTTGTATCTAATGGTCTCTGGGCATGAGAGCCCAGTCTAACTCAACGGCTGTTTCTAAATAATAATATTCATAACAGCTGCTTCATGATGCTGTGTGAGTCTCTATAAAGGAATCTTGTCATCATGCTGTGAGCAAAGATACTGCTTTGACTCTGTTGTTGTTATGTTCCAAACACGCAAGTCAGACTTAGCATTCTTTAACTAAGCTTGCTTTGTTTCTGGAGATGGAATTTGATAAACACTGGCCTTCTTTCTATTGTAATGCTATCCGTTAAAGGAATGTAACCTGGAATATCAATAGATAAGTGATGCAACAGCACATTTTCCATTTCAGCCCAGAGCACCAGGAGATCTTTTTGAAAGATTTAGCAAAGTTCCAGATGTTGCAGTGGAAAGAACATCATAGATGGGATAGGTATGGAGGGTCTTAATATTTTCCCTTTCAGTTATAAACTCTCACCTAGTGTTCCCGGTTGTTGTTTCATTTCCTGATGCCACGTGTGAGGTTCAATGTTTTAGATCGTGGAGCAATTTGATTTGTTGGGAAAGGTGTGTAGCACAATGTACGTTTTCACAGAGAGTCACAGACACAGAAGTGACAGGGAGGGTGAAGAGATCAGAGTGGATTTGGAGATATGTTTCATTATTTGAAATGTGTTCAGTGTCAGTCAATACTTAAAAATGGAAGGTAAGAAATAAAGAGTGCAAGTGATTCATGCATTTTAAAGAATTGACCTGGGAAGAATACTCAGGATAATTCAAATACACAGTATAACAATCAACCAATAGTCGGTCAAACTGAACCAAATTCTCCGTTGAAAGAAAATGTATGTGAAGTTCTCCTAAGTGGAAAAACACTCTTCAACTTTCATCTCAACAGTAAATGACAGTTTTTAAGGTCAGATTTGTTGAACCAACTTGCTTTATTGTTCCCCCCTCCACCCAAAAAAACATGGTTTGTTCAATTCAAGAAAGCCTTTCCACATCTCCCTGCAGCAGATCAACCAACTGGTGTACTTTAAGAAGCTTACATCCCCTTTGCCAGACGTAGTATCTGATACATGCGGTCTGGGTATTTCAGAAGGTCTGCTCCTTTCTTGTCTTGTTTTGAAGGGGAGCAGAGGGTACTGGTGTTGGATGTGAAGGATTCCTTTGTAGTTGCCTGGGAGGTGGTATTTAAGAACGAAACCTTCGCTTCATGGAAACTACACATGCATAAAGGAAGGGTTTGCATTAGAATGGAGGTGAAATGCACAATGGGGTGGGACAAGCCTGAGCAGCCTGTATGGGCTTTCATTCTACTCCATACGTGTGAAAGCTGAGCCTGTGTGAAACCTACAGGCACTGGTGAGTAGTAAACCGTTGTGTAAGAGTTCTAACATGTGTCCTTCCTTCCTTCCCTCGCTCCTCAGTGTCTAAGAAGCACGGGAAGCTGATCACCTTCTTACGCACCTTCATGAAGTCCAGGCCCACCAAGCAGAAGCTGAAGCAGAGAGGCATCCTCCGGGAGAGGGTGTTCGGCTGCGACCTGGGCGAACACCTCCTCAACTCAGGACATGATGGTGAGACACACGAACACACACCTGAGAGCACCAGAGCTTCATGGATCCTTCCAGGCTTTTATTCTTAACAGACTCTTAGTGTATTCTGACTGGCGAGGGTCTTAAATGACCTGGAGCCTGATTTACGGCAGAAAGTGCAGGCCATTATTTGCAACAAGCTTCCATTAGAGACAGGCTTTGATTTCTGTTCCCTGGTTAATGGAGTGGTAGAGATTACATTTTAGTTAGCATCGCATGGGCTCCCTTAAAAAGAAAAGCAATGGGATTTTTCCATTGGAATTCAGAATATTGCAGAAAAGATATCTGTCAAACACACGATTATGATTCTTACATATTTCGGTCAGCAGGATAATCTCATATTCTGATGTAAAAAGCGATTTAATGCGAACACCTGCTGCTTCCTCCATTTCAAATAATGAGATAATGGTTTTTAGATAAGAGCCATTGTGAGCCTCCTCAGATTCACACCACACTGAGTTAAAGCAGTTCGGCCAGCCCTCTCTGCCTGTAAGTTAGATAATAGCTGGGCTTAAGTACATAGCTACATGTACCTGCTGTAGCTACATTGATGTTCTGATCCCTCAGCAGCACGCTGTCTGTGAGGTGAGCTGATGGGATGGTGTCAATGACAGAGGTGGAGGAGAATGGTTTCCTGATTACCCTGTGACATCAGCTCCAACCACTGTCTCTGCTGCTGAAGCGCAACCAATGACTTCATTTCACTTCTGCTTGAGACCAGCTTAAAAAGCCATTCATTCATGTTAATGGATCAATTCTGTGTCTGGACATGAATTGTTCTTGTCGTAGCAGCACATTGAATCACAGTGATCACAGACGGGTGAAGCATTCACTCCCTGGCTCTCTGTACATCCTGCCTTACCTTGACATGGAGAGATAAGCCACTCTGTCACACTTTGCTGGGTCAAATGTTTGACGTGTTACGATTGCTTCAGTGACTTTAAGAAATGAAAGAGGACTTTGATCTTATGGAACAAGAGAAATACCATTTGCAGTCATCTACAAGTAGAGTGCTGAGTCTGCTCCTATAAAGACCGGTGGTAGGTGAAGACAAGTACTACTTTGCTTTCACTTACTAAACAATATTTCCTAGACAAGAAAGTTGTATAACCGGTTGGTTAGATGTTGAATAAATAAATATAGTCATAAACAAAGCTTTTCAAACTAAAATTATAATCCATAGAATGTTGATGTTCCAAATAAATGTTGTCCAGTCAACAGACAGCCAGGCGTCTTGCTGTACTCTTATAAGCTTCATTAACACTAGAACCGCCAGAGGTCGCTGTATACCTAAAACCGCCAACGGGTCAAATGTACCCGCTGTTGATTTTCAAGGTACAATGTTCTTTTATTTATCATACAGAACAGTGAGTTTTGAATCGCACAGGGATGAAATGTATACCAATAGATTCTGTGGACTCCCAGCTTTTCATATGATATAGTTTGTGCAGATAGCATGAAGTATAAAATATCGCTACCAGTGCTGATTTAAACGCTTGGTGTTAGACTTGTGTTTTGTTCAGGAACAAATCTGTCTCTCTCTCTCTCTATCTATCTATCGATCCATCTATTTATTTATCTCTCTCTCTCTCAAGGTGTTACTATAGCAACACGTCATGTTTACGCTGCATTTTCTATGAGGTAAATATTACCCGCTGGCGGATATAGGTATAAATGGCGATTTTTTTCAATCTGACTTCATATTGACAATTTTTAACAACAGAGGGTGCTACATACTGTAACACACTTTCAGGAAAAGTCACAGACTGGGAGACTTGAATATTTTATTGAAAAAAAGTGACATACAATCCAAAAACAGCTGCGGGTCAAATTGACCCGTTGGCGGTTCTAGTGTCAACAAAGAACATAAAACGGAGAGTTAAAGCCATAATCCTATGCTCCATGAAATAAAAGTGGCTTTTTTCAATCCAGTTTTCAGAGGCGTATGCTGACAAAGGAGAGTCCGGGCTAAAGACAAAGGGATCTTCCAAGCTACCATTTCTCTTGCTATCTTGGTTCTACAAAAGTCCGCTTTGACAATATAATGTCTTATTGACAATATTATTAAAGGGGCCCTATTATTCTTGTTGGGATTTCCCCTTGCGCTTTTCTGGCTAGAGCCCCAACACATTATACGTGACAACTTTTTCACAGACTACCTTCATCTGTCAAATAATGTACCCAAACATCTCAGCTTCAACTTTCAGTGTAAATGTGACTCTGCCACTTGAGCTTTGAAACTAAAATGTAAGGTAACAAACTCTTCACTTAAATAAATTGGATGCTGTTGTTTGAAATGTAAGAGGGTTCACTACTGTTGTGTCCAAATCTGACTCCACATTCATGTTGTGTATCTTTGCGATAAGAGAGCCTCATAAAAAAGATCTTCCTACGTAAAGAGCTTGGAGAGGACTTATCCACCCTCGCTGTCCTCTTCTCTGTTGCAGAATGACATTTCCTTCAAATCTGGCCGCCTTGTTTGCTCTTTCGCTATGTGTGGAATTTGTCTAGACAGCTGCTTCAGCGCATGTCCCACTCTGCCATTTCTGAATGCTGTTTGAGCCTCCTTACACACATAAACACCATCTTTATCTACCATATACACACACACACACACACTCACAAAGAGAAATAGCATGTCTGTATGATTCATAGTTGCTGAAGGAGAATTAAGAAGCTCTGTGGTTTCTCTTCATTGTCTCAACACACAATCACTGGCATTGTGCTTTAAAGAATGTGATTTGCTGCCTCATTCACTGACATGTTTTTCTAACTATTTACTCCAAAAACATTAAATAAAGAAATCAAATCTTTTTAAAGCTCTCAGGATATTGGTTCAAACGTTTCCCCCTTCAGCTCCAAAAGTCCTTTTTCCTCAGATAGCACTAGAAATGTAGTTAATCACACTCCGAAGTCTTTCAGCGCCTGCAGCCTCTTGTCCAGAAAGCCTGTGAGCTCTAGCTTGACCTCGCTTGTACTCGCTCTTCAAAAGAAGAGTCATCACATTCTTGACCGTGAATGTCTCAGTGAAGACTGGACAAATATTGACTTGTGTGTGAAGTGTTGAACGGCTCTTTTTCTCTTCACAGTGCCCCAGGTCCTCAAGAGCTGCACCGAGTTCCTCGAGAAGCACGGTGTGGTGGATGGCATCTACCGCCTTTCTGGAATTGCCTCAAATATCCAGAAATTACGGTAGGAGACACACTGCCTGTTTATTATGTGATTCAAAGGTCAAATCAGAATCTCCCCATATAAAACAACTAGTTTGTACAGAAATGTCCTTAAATGTCATAGGAGGAGCTTACAAACCGTATCCTACCATAGCCCTGTATAAGCTGACAACATATGAATTCCATCTAGGGTTATTGCATCTGTAAAAGAAAATCATGATGACGTGCAGTTTAATAGGTGTTACTCATCAACAGTTACACTGGATCAGAACTTAAGTCATCTGAGCTCTGACAGCAGTTGTAACTGTTAAAAGGCAATTTATATGTTGTGGACATTTAAGTAGTTATTGTCAGTGTCAGTATAATCCTGTGTTTACATGTAAACTAGTGCAGTACCCGTTCAGGATAACTGGTGCAAAATCTTCTTGGGTTTCACAGAGACTAGGGCTATTCTACTATAATATTCAGGGGGGAAGTTTTCAGAATGCTAACAATTTAAAAAAGAACATGTAAAAAACGCCCTGCATTTAATTTCAGAGTTTGAGCATATAGAAATGTAGGCTATATTTAGAATGATTCTGTTAGACTCATGGGAGCAATGTAGACCTGTTTTATTATTGAGCAATATTTTCTAGTTTTATATTTGTTCATGCAAAAACATTGCATTCTCATATTAGTATTCTTGGTATTGTTAACTGTGACTGCACACCATAGACCACATGACGTTGGGAAGGCACATATCAACAATGTTCTCTTCTAATATGCATTCTAATGTCATATTCATCCATCAAACTACAGCAGTCTCTTATCGATGCATTTTTCCTCAGGAGAAATGAATTAGTTGACCTTGCTTTGCCCCCTATCTTTCACCAGGCATGAGTTTGACTCTGAGCAGATCCCCGACCTGACCAAAGATGTGTACATCCAGGACATCCACTGTGTGGGCTCGCTGTGTAAGCTCTACTTCAGAGAGCTGCCAAACCCCCTGCTCACCTACCAGCTCTACGAGAAATTCTCTGTAAGCAAAGCCTGAGTAGCTCAAGCACGTCTCACACACCAATTTCTAGCACAAATGTGTGGATATACAAGTCTACTTACTATTATAACACTTGACTTACTGAAAGATACTGATTGTGCTTAGTCTCTAGCGTAAAGTAATGAAATGTATAGAAATTCCTATAAATACATCTTGTAAGAATTCTACAGTGCATCTTGCATGTATTAGTCATAGACCCCACTGACATACAGTATAAGCATTGAACCTAACTCTATGTGTGACTTGGAAAAAACAATGTTGTCCAAGCATAACAGAGATTTCAAGTAAATGCTGGTTGTTATTGCAGCTGGAGAGAGGAGGGGTGGGGGGCTGTGGCTCCTGACGGATTCCCCCCTGCTCCATGTAGCGGCGTGAACCTGGCATAACAAGTTAATTTAGCCTTGTGTTGATTCATCACACTATTTATCTCCCTCCCTTTCTTTTCACTTTGAAGGATGCTGTATCAGCAGCAACAGACGAGGAACGACTCATCAAAATCCATGATGTCATACAGCAGCTTCCTCCACCGCATTACAGGTCAGTGTAGAGGCACACCGCCTCCCTGTGGCAGACTCAGGAACTGCCAGATACAAATGCATCCTGTGTTGTGGCTCCTGTCTTGATAAAAAATAATGTTTACGGCCACAATGCATTGAGGGGAATCATTTAACAGCTTATACTCATCTGTGCATGATGCTTTTGGAAAGCACACAAATGCACATTTCTAAGTGACATTCCTTTGGGATAGATCACATGGTGAAATATTGATGCTCTGAAGAATAAGCTCTATCATGGCCATTAGTGTGCGTATAACTTGTAGGGGACCACTTTATGTGAATGAATAGATGTTTGATTCATAGGACCCTGGAGTTCCTGATGAGACACCTGTCCCACCTGGCAGCCTACAGCTACATCACCAACATGCACAGCAAGAACCTGGCTATCGTCTGGGCCCCCAACCTTCTGAGGTGAGGGTCTCCTGCACCACACAATGTTCTCTGAATGCATGTTTTATTGAGTTGAATACACTGTCTATCATCACATTAAAGCCACCTGGTTGGTTGATTTCTTAATGTTTTAAACAATACATCTCAAACTAATTCTAATGGTCTTCACAGTTTGATGTATCTGTAGTTTAGGTTAAGTAGGTTTTGTATACTTCTCACATTAAAGATTTCTCAGACTTATTGAAACACTCACACTTCAACACATTTACCTGATATGCTCAGGGGCGGGACATGTCAAAGTGGTTTACCAATCACAACAGCTAACCAATCAGAGCAGACTGGGCTCTGGTTTCAGACAGAGGGTGAAAAGAGGTGCTGCAGCACAGACAGTATGAGAAAAGTAAAGACCTTTTTTAACATTAAAGCCTGATAATGAGCTCTGTGCAGCATAACGTTTCCTGTCTCCTGCTTTAAATCAGTCACTCTGCCTTAGTGGAAGGATTTAGGCACATTTCTGCGGGGAGTGCTGATCAACACAACATCAAATGCTGGAAGTCATTTTTAACTAATTAAGATGAATTGTTTACCTATAACTGATTTGCTATTACTTGTTTAAAGTCGGGCATTTGACTAAATCTAACCCACATATCCTCCCCTGTCATTGTCAGGTCAAAGCAGATTGAATCTGCGTGCTTCAGCGGCACAGCAGCCTTCATGGAGGTCCGGATCCAGTCAGTGGTGGTGGAGTTCATCCTGAACCACGTGGATGTTCTATTCAGCTCCAAACTCAGCTCTCTGATACGAGAGGGAGCAGGTACGTTCAGGCCGTCTGCAGATACCTCCTCTGCTCACTACATCTCTACACCAGCCAATGCTGCTTCTTCTCGAGCAATAAACACTGTTCTATACCGCCAGGTCACAACTCGTTGTCGCGGCCTAAGTCCCTGCTGGTTTCGTCTCCCTCTACCAAACTCCTGACTCTGGAGGAGGCCCAGGCCAGGACCCAGGCTCAGATCAACTCTCCGGTCACCGAGGACAGCAAGTACATCGAGGTGGGCGAGGGTCCGGCTGCTCTGCAGGGGAAGTTCCACACTGTCATTGAGTTCCCCACTGAGAGGTTTGTTAACTCCTCTGTCTAATTTGTCATGTAATTACTATGTGTCAATTGTCATTTAATATACAATCTAAGTAGTAAAGACACACTCTAGGCCCACAGACATCTACCACACGTCTACGTACCCCTGTGTCTGAATCTGTCTTTGAGTTATGGTGTCTATGTGAGTAAGTGAAACTAATTCTTCTTTGCCTGCTTTCCCATTATCATAGGAAGAGGCCTCCTATTAAATCAAAGAAGTCTCCTGTAGGTAGTTGGCGCTCTTTCTTCAACCTGGGCAAGTCTTCCTCCATGTCCAAGCGCAAGCTGCACCGCAACCCCAGTGAGCCCAATGAACTGAAGGCCATGGCCCTGGCCGGTGAGTCTTACCTCCTCAATTAGAAGGAAAATAGTCCAATTGTACAAAGACAGGAGCTTATTTGACTAAACAATGCTTAATCCTTGAAATGGCTTTGTTTCAGGAGGCAGAGGAGACTCAGCAACATTAAGATCAGCCAAGAGTGAAGAGTCACTGAGTTCCCTGCACAATGTTGAAGGTAATCATTTGTGTCTTCTAGTTTACTATCACGCATTGCTGCCCCAACTGTAGTAAATAAAGCCTGTTATAAAAATAGTTTCTGAATATATTATTTTCTTTCTTCAGGAGAGTCGAAGGTGTACCGTCCTCGGAGGCCGCGCTCCAGCAGTGACGCTCTGTCAGCCTCCTTTAACGGTGAGCTGCTGGACAGCCGGCAGCACTGCAACTCCTACGACAACCTGGACGCCACAGAGGACAGCGACGGAGACGACGGGCCCATCTGTGTGCCTGCCCTCATCTCTCCCCCCCGCTCAGCAGGTGAAGACGTGGACCTCAGCCCGCCAGACATCGGCATGGCCTCCTTGGACTTTGACCCCATGTCTTTCCAGTGCAGTCTCCCCGACACCTCTTACGCCTTCCCTTTAAATGACTCACCCAAGGGGGCTGAGGGTTCCACGTTAAGGAGGAACCATGGAAGCGCCTGTGGAAAAACCAATGGCTCTGACCTCATCGCTGCCACATTACTGAGCAGCCTGATGTCCACAGACTTCAGCCTGACCGCTGGACACAAGGTGGAAAGCAACAAACTGACCACTTCCTATTCTTACACTGACAAACCCACACAGGTCGTGTCACCTATTAAATGTGGAAAGACCACTAGTTTAACGCCTTTTCCCACTTACGAGCTTTTCTCTACTGAGGTGCCTGACAGGAATACGGCTGTACAACCTTCATCCCCTTCTTCAGCAGCGGAGGAATCTCCTCCCCTGATGGGCAGTGTCCTGCTGAGGGCAGCAGAGCCGTCTCTCAGTGAAGCTTTTCAAAAGGAGCTGCACTCTAAGCTGGAAGCCTTTGACAGTGTGGACAATGGAGAGCTGAAGGGAGAGGACAGCCTGCCGCGGGCGCCAGCTGCCAGCAGCCACGAGCACCAAGGTAGGGAGCAGATGATGACCTTTTTTATTTGTGTACTTTCTTACCTGTTCCATTAAACTATGTAGATTCTTATTTAAGAATAAGGTTTTAAGTCATGCCATTAATTATATGACTGCTTTCTTCTAGGTTTAGTCTCCCAGGTTTGCATGGATTTGGTCTTAAGTAAATATTTTCATATGTTGCCCAAGCACCACGCTTAACTTTGCCCATCCTCTTGAAGCTCCTTAAACCCAGCCTGCCTGCTGTCATGTCTCTTCTTCACCTGCTGCTATCTCACTTGTTTGTTCTTCAACTATAGACCCCTTTTGTTTCTGTGTCCCTGCTAGGAGTCGTAGCTCAGGACTCTGCGAAGGACCTCACCCCTCGTTCCTTCAGCTCTGCAGCTCCCTCTACTGCCCCTCCTCCTCCCCCTCCTAAAAACGCTGCCCGCATGTTGGCCCTGGCCTTGGCAGAGTCTGCCCAGCAGGTCTCCATTCAGTCTCAGTCCCGACACTCTGAGCCTTCCACACCGGTGTCCCCCCCGCAGCCACAGGAAACCTCTAACCTCCAGGACACGCCGCATTCACTGGTCACACATTACCTGACTTCGTCCTCCGAGGGAGCAGGGAGAGGAAGTTCCCTGCCACTAAACATAACTGCCCCCCGTGTCACCACGGCCTCATCGTATGCCCCCACCTCCAGTCCTACAACCACACAGCAGCCTCTAGAGTTAGACAGCATCACTACCAAGCCTTCAGACAGCACCAAATCCCTTACAGCTCCACCTGCAACACAGCCTGGAGCAGACTCAACGCCACCGGACACTCCTTTATACAAGTGCGCCCCCCTCCCCGGTTCATCCAGCAGCACTTCTCCAAGCAGGAAAAGTCCAGAAAGGCAGCAGCCTGTCCCAGTACAGGTCCCAGTACAGAATGCAGTACAGATCCCAGCTCAGGTCCCAGTGCAGGTCCCAGTGCAGGTCCCAGTACAGGTCCCAGTGCAGGTCCCAGTACAGGTCCCAGTGCAGGTCCCAGTGCAGGTCCCAGTGCAGGTCCCAGTACAGGTCCCTGTCCGTAGCAACTCACCCACTACCACTCCAGCCCCCTCCCCCAGTGACTGCTACAAAGTTATTGGAGTCTTACCACATCCTGTTCCTAAGGTAAGTCTCACCACTTTTATATGTAACTTAGGCTTTAAAAATGATGAAGGCTCTTGCATTGTAATAGTGAGCTGCAGTAAGCATGATCCAAATGGATCCACTGTATTCCTTGTGCCGCAGCTAAAATGTCACACGGTTATTATTATCCTCTGGAAACACGTTTCGAGTGACGGTATCGGGCACCCACTCATCCGTTGAGAGTAGATCGTATGTGTCTAGGGGAATACCTGCTGTCCATTTGACAATCCTTTAATAGCAACTGTAAATCAATGCCTGGAAGTTCCGTTGACACAGTCAGCTGGTTGTGGTCGCCTAAAAACGTGAGGCACCTGCTTCAGAGCACTTATGAAGTTGGCAAAACAGTAGGCACATACTAGGTGGTAGAAGATACTGCATGTGTAGTCAACAAGAGGCACCAAAACCAGTAGGAAAAGGAAGAACATAAGAAAAACACCTAAATAAACAGACATTTAGAATGTATGCCATGCTGCTGCCGGGATTGGAACTACCCTGCAACCAGACTGGTGACACTGAGCAGAACTGTGAACTTAATCGGTAATAATGTTGTTTTCTTTGTTCTTTGTCTTAGGTCAAACCAGAGGAGACTGCATCACCCCCAATCCTTTCAAAACCATCAGAGCAGCCCCCTCCTATAGCTCAAAAGCCTAAGAGGAAGGCTGTCTCCATCCCCCCGCATCAAACGCAACCTCAGCAGCAGAGCCAAGCTCAGATACAGCCTCATCTTCCAATACAGCCACACATGCAATCACAGGTCCAAACCCAACCACACCCCCCCTCGAAGGCCAGCGCACGAGTGGCCCCCACCTCTGTGGAGCCTATTGAGAAGCCTTGGGAAGCCATAAAGCCAGTGCAGCCCCATACAGAGTCTGCTAAGTACAACGACGCGTACGGAGCCACACCTCCGGCCCCTCCAGTCCGCACCATCGAGAGCAAACTGGCCACAGCAGCACTTAGCCAAAGTGAAGCCTCCTACCATTGCCTGGGGGAGGGCCCTGTGCCGGGGCATCTGGAAGAAGGTCTGCCTCACCACCCTCCCTCACCTCGGAAATCTTCCACGCATCAGCCGACCTATCTGTACCACACTAAAGGAGAACCTGTCTTAATTGAGCCCACAGCAACTGCATACTACCACCAGAGGCCTCTTCCCAAGGGCCCACAGTCCAAACAACGCCACATGCGACCAGACAGCGTCCCCCCGCACCTCTCCTACGTGTCCAAGTCGGAGCCTCAGATACCTTACAACGCCCGACTAGACAACAGATACAGCACTTTAGGCCCCAGGTCCTACCACCACTCCATGAAGTCCAGAGGAAACCCCCGCAGTGTGTACGTGTCCCCGGGGCCGGGGCATCAGGGTTACAGCCACGACAGACCCCAAGGCTATCCCACCATCCGCAGAGTGCACTCCCTCCACGTTCCCTCCACTATTCGCACCGTGCCTATCCACAGGACTGAAGTTCCTCCAGATGATGATATTTTCTTCTACCATCGACCCATGTATCCGTGCAAAGCCTACCAGCAGCCCCCCCATCAGCAGCCCTCCCATCAGCAGCCCTCCCATCAGCAGCCCCCCCATCAGCAGCCCCCCCATCAGCAGCCCCCCAATCAGCAGCCCCCGCATCAGCAGCCCCCCATCAGCAGCCCCCGCATCAGCAGCCCCCCCATCAGCAGTCCCCCATCAGCAGCCCCCCCATCAGCAGCCCCCCCATCAGCAGCCCCCCATCAGCAGCCCCCCCATCAGCAGCCCCCCCATCAGCAGCCCCCCCATCAGCAGCCCCCGCATCAGCAGCCCCCCCATCAGCAGTCCCCCCATCAGCAGCCCCCCCATCAGCAGCCCCCCCATCAGCAGCCCCTGCAACAGCCCCCCCAGCAGTCCTCCTCTCAATCAGACTACCACGTAACCCAGCTGCAGCCTTACTTTGAGAATGGCCGGGTTCAGTACCGCTACAGTCCGTACTCTGGTTCAAGCCCTTTGGAGGCGCCTTTCTATGACATCGATCCTTACGGCACCATCAGAGTCCGGCACTTGCCCTCCAATGGGGGCCGAGATCCTGGAGCCGCTGCTGGCCGACCGGGTGGAAAGGCGACTGGGTACCACTTCCTCGCTCGCCATGTTCTCCCACCTGGGATGGAGCACAGCTTTGTGAGCAGGGACATGCCCCCCAGTCATGGGAACAAGGAAGGTGCCACTTACCTGGCTTGCGACCCGGAGGAGTCAGAGAGGCTCCGCATGCACTCAATCCGCAGGGAGAGCAGGGCCAGACAGAAGATCAGAGGCCCTGTCCTCTCTCAGTACGACAATGTTGGCTTGTTTGCACCGGCAGATATATCAGGCTATGAAACGTTGCACCTGCGCAGTAAATCTGACCCCGGCAAAGCTGTGCTGGTTGCAGCTGAGAGCAAAGATGGCCGCTACCCTCCCGAGACACTTGGTGTCTGACCCGGAAGTCCTCATGTACATGGAGACTGATAAACACTTCCAGGGCAGCGCTGTGGGAGAGAAGTCAGATGGACTCCCCAAGCAAAGCGGTACCAAGAAATGCCAATCCTCTCACTCCCTTCCGGCGACTCTGAGCCACAGCCTGTCCCCTCAGGAAGGCGGCCGGCACGAGGCCGGAGACGAGCCGCTAGGTGGAGACAGCAGCAGGCCCAAACTCCGGCAGCAGGAGTATCAAAGCCAGAGGAACATCCAACCACGTTACGAATGTCCTGATTCTGAACACAACCAGAGAAAGGTGAAAACATCCAGCAGCTACCACGGTACAGAGGAGCAGCAGTCGGCCCCCTGGGAACAACTCAGCCACTCCAACCTGGAGCGGTCACACAGCGTCCGGGAGCAGGGCCACCCTGACCTGGACAGGGACTACTCATATCAGAATCACGGCACTAAACCGGTGCACTCCCACTATGATAACTTGGACGATTACCACCCGGTACCTCAGCCTCAGGCCCCGGTTCAAACCCGCGGGGGCTCCTTTCCCACCCCAGGGTTCACAGTGAGCCACGGCAACACAGCATACTCCACAGCACTGGGCCAGGGAGCCTTCATCCAGGCCGAGCTGGCCCTGCAGAGGCAAGAGATAGAGATACTTACAGAATAAAGCATTTAAGGGGGGGGGGGGGGACACAGCTAAAGAACAAATATCTTTAGCTGTGTAGAAGAAAGACTATTGAGCTATGGTTGCAGCCTCTGCAGGACAGCGGCCTGTCGTATCACCAATATTTTTGCTCCTCTGTATTTTTAAAGAATTGTAAGACTTTTTAAAGAGAGTCCTGAATGTACCGGAAGCTAATGTACAAGAGGTCCTATTGTTGTGATTGATTGAGACAGTAGCCGGTCATAAATGTATATGATATGAACGATGTGAGGTACTTTGAACAGCAACACAAAAATGTGAAATATATACACAATATATATATATATTAGGATAACTAGAAAAAAGAGACTTTTGTTTTTTAGGTGTGGCGCTGGGTATGAGCACAGAGTGGGGATTAAGGGCATGCATTTCAGAAATGCATGCACTCTATCTCTCTCTAAATTCTGTGTACTTCACTATCCCCTGCATTCTTTGTGTGTTACAGCAGGGGGGGACATGTAGGTTATCGTCGTCATCCCCCCCTTGCTGACATGCACACAAGTCATTGAACGAGTCCCTGTTTGCCTCGGAGAATCAGACGTTAAAAAATGTGATGTGAAGGAGCCACAATGGGTTACTTTGAGTTAATACAGAGGTTATCAATGTCTTATTTTCTGTGTGACTGTGCCATTTTTTATGTAACTTTGCTATAAACAGATTTCAATGACTTTGGTACTTGTTTGTTCTTCATCGAATGTGGGACCAAACGACTTGGCGCAGTTGTTGCACATACAGGATAAAGAGGGGACGTGGAAGAATGCCTGTTATACCTTTTTAGATGTGTTTTTATTTCCTTTTTTTCTTTTTTATCACATTCACAATACTTTCATGAACTGGAATAACTGAATAAAGCTGAAAACAATGTCCTCTAAAACAATGTGGTGAAGAACATGTTGCTGCAGAGTTGTTTGGAAAAGAACACTTGGTGACAAAGACCATTTGGTGTTCACTTTACCATTGTCATAATGCACAAACATTGTGATATCTCGATAAAGATCACTTTAATCATTTTTGACAGGTCAGGGTTGAAAGGGGACATAATGGGTTCATTTGTTTTGTGTAGGAGGGAGCACCCGTAGATAGTAGGGGCCATTTATTTCTTGAAATCAATGTTTAATACATTAATCTGGTACTACGTGACCTTTTGCACCATCATTTATGGATTACAATATGTTGTCCTGATCCAGGTTGTACTCTGTAACTGTTTGACTTCTATATCGCTTGCAGGTTTTGCTCCTCTTGCCTTATCTAAAGCCTCTCCCTTTCCAGATGGGGAACTGAAGGAAGGCACTGTGTACTTGAATGTGAAACAAAACACTTGTTTCAAACTAGAGGTATCTACAGTAAGATATGAAATAAATAAAACTGTTCAGGAATAGCTATAATCCATGTATTTTAATATGTCCATGATATTAATATACACCTCTGCTTGGCTATGTCTGACATTTACTTGAAGGACAAACTGGACAATTTAGTTTTGGAGAAAAGAGCACAAAACATAAGTCATGAATTATAGATTGAACCAGGTTTAACACAATGGCCGTGTGTGAACTCATTTATATGAGGGTTTATTTTCCTCATAGACCAGTTGACTGTAAAGTATAAATGTCATTTATTTCTCTTTTTGAGTCGAATACATTTAGAGTGTATTTTTAAGGATTACTGACTAGTCAATACAGCTGCACGATTGGGGGGAAATATTTGATATGCACTATAACTTGCGAAAAGTAAAAGCTAAATTCAAAGTTTACTCAGTTTTAGTATTCTGCTGCTTTCAGTATACTGTTTTATTAAATAGTAGGTCATTTTGGGCCAGAGGGCCTTTACTGGTGCTATCGAAGTTGAAAGGGGGAGACAGAGGGGAGGACATTGCCTGAAATGTTCGGGATTGGAACCAGTTTACTAGGCAGCGGTGACTGCATATGAGCCACCAGCTCTAACCAATCTGTCAGTATACTGTTAAATCACAACAACAAAAAAGTGCTTATTGAGTAAAAGAAAATTAGAGCAAATGATCTCCAATATTTGTATATTGAATGTTGAATTGAACACAACATTCATCAATACAAACAGTAAATATAATAAGAAAAGTGCAGTTTTCCACTGATAATCCATTTCAACTAACTCAAATAATTATATATCAATGTGCAATATCAAAGTCCTTTTTTCAAAGTGTTCATCACTTGATGAACATTGCCATGGCGATATACAAAAATAATATTGTGCAGCCCTACTAGTCCCAGTAATGCCATGCTGCTTTTAGAAAATATAAGGTGTCATGTTCCCCAGAGTTGTTTGCCACGACTAGAGTGGGTCTAAATTTGTTTAGTTTGCCTCATGCATGCACGTGTTGAGTGGTGCAGTAGAGTCCTGCAAACACATGGGGCCTTCTCATTTCACAAATTTCCCCTCCTCGAATCCTTGGTCCTCCGGTAGTGACCCGGAAATGGTTTTCGGCGCGCCATGTTGAAGGACATCTCATTTCTCTAAATGCACATCGAGGAGGCTCTCTGGAGGAGCTATAATCAAGGATACACTGATGGGTCCTCCGCGGATGCATTTCCGTGATGATTAAAAGAGTCGTGACCAAGCGGCAAACTCTGGGGCAGAGCCGGGAGGACAATAAGGAAGTGCCACAAACTGCAGTTAATCTATTGGCCGATAGGCGATGACTGCAGAAAGGATGAATTTCCATAGACCCCGTGCTAAAATGCCCAACTTTACAGCAGAAATAAACATGTTTCTGCCCCTGGATGCAATCAAAAATATTCGGGATATAGTTAGATTCCACCTTAATGATTATTAATTGTTGAGTGAATTGTTTTATAACGTGACCCTTTTATTTATATTAGGTCTTAACGTTTTTGCATAAATTAGGGCGTGGTCAGTTTGATGGACAGATATGTGCCTCACTGTCAGCTAACAGCAACTTGTCCACTCTGCTAGGCTACAACGTTAGCTAGTTGTAGTTACTGTACTTGACCCTTTAGCCATGTTTGTGGTGATTGTGCCTTTTAGGGAATGGTGTTACAAATACCAGACAATTAAAATGGTGTGCTGTGCGGTTGAATGTACTAACAGAACTTCCAAAAAGTCTAAAATAACAATAGTATACATGTTAACCCCGTTAGCAGGTGTTTGTGTGCTTGTTAGCTAAGCTTGTTAGCTAGCTAAGGACGTAACCCTTTATACATGTGTGTGTATATATACATACATATACAGTTTAGTTTATGATTCAGCTTTGGGTAAGACTTTTATAGTTTATTGCTATGACGGTCATAATGCTAAACGGGAGCAAATGTCAAAAGGGGACCCGCCGGAGCTAACGGAGCCGCAGGGGGCGTCCCGGCGCCGGAGTCCGGCGTTATAACTGGAGATCAAGGAATGCAGCGAAACCATAGAGCGAAACGCGGACTTGGTTCGCCTGCAGACCGCTGTAGTATTAGCTAAATAAATTATGTTGAACAAGGCTTATTAAGCTGAACATTACGGAGCTCCCTAGGGGACATGGAGAAGAAAAAAATAATAATTTGAAAAAAAATAAAAATAAAATGTTTTGCGAGATATCGCAAAACCTTTGCGAGATATCGCAAAACCCCTTTGCGAGATCTCGCAATACTTTTGCGAGATCTCGCAAAACCCCGTTGCAGTTTGTAGACGGTCCCTAAGCACTCCTCTCCCTCCTCCAGCTGCGGATTGTGACAAATTATTGATGTTTAGCTCGGATGACGGCGCGTATCTTACTGTTCTGATAAAAACGACTCTGTAGCTCGTTGTCTACCTTGCTATGATTGTAAAGTCATGTTGTTTGTATTTTTACAACGTTATGTTCATGAGTTATTGATCCGCGAAATTCGAATCTGTCAATAACTCAGCTCAGAGGAACGTGCACGTCCCCTCGCTCTGAGTGTTTTCTTGAGGTGTCTTCACTTATGTGAAACCCTTTATATATACAGTCTATGTGTGAAACCCGTGCTTATTGCCAAGCACTGATGTTATATCTTTATATTTAAGGCCAAGCTCAAAGTAAAATCGATGAACCACTCCATTGTTGTGGTTTCTGTGCCGTAGCAGCCGAACTGACCAGGAAGTACTAAATGAAAAGTATTGCGAGATCTCGCAAAGGGGTTTTGCGAGATCTCGCAAAAGTATTGCGAGATCTCGCAAAGGTTTTGCGAGATCTCGCAAAACATTTTTTTTTTTTTTTCTGTTCAAATTATTTATTTTTTTCTTCTCCATGTCCTCTAGGGGACTCCGTAGAACATTGCCACAATTGTTCTGCGATGTATCTGTACTTATTTTTATTTTTATTAACGTGTGAATGACAAGCATTAAGAATAACAAGAGTGTCTCATTTGATTATGAATGTAACGTTTATAGTGGAACTACACGGTTTTATCAAAACCAAGGTGCCACGCAGTAACTTGGTATGCATGTATTTCATGTTAGCTTAGCTTCTTAGCTTGAGCTAGCTCTGTTACTTCCAGCTCGGTGGCAGCAGGTCCCGCCTGGGCTCCGCCTCTTTGTCCTTATTTGGAGCAGGTGGGAATTAGACTCTGATGTCACTGTCGAGACGTTGGTGGCCGACTCAGTCCAGTCCGCCTACTAAGGGCAACTCTGCAGAATCCTATTTATATATATATACAGTATATGGTCGTGACGCACGGCCGGACTTATCTCAGCCAATGACAGCTCTGCATGCATCCCCTGGATATTATTTTATTAACTGCTTTCATCGCGACCCAATGTTTACTGTGAGAACAGCTGTGAGGTCCATGCAGAAAGCAGAGCAGTGTGTATAATATAGTATATATTTATATAAGTGAGTTTTCGGCCATGGAACGCCTGGGTATCATCCGCCGGTCTGACAGTCCTTGGGCCTCTCCTCTGCACATCGTTCCCAAGCCTAACGGCGGTTGGCGCCCGTGTGGGGATTACCGCCACCTCAACAACGCCATGACACCCGACCGCGATACCCGGTGCCGCACATTCAGGACTTTTCAGCACACCTGGCGGGTACGCTGGTGTTTTCTAAGGTGGACCTGGTGCGTGGATACCACCAGGTGCCCATGCATCCCCTGGACATTCCCAAAACGGCAGTGATAACGCCGTTTGGGTTGTTCGAGTTCCTGCGGATGCCTTTTGGGCTCAAGAATGCCGCTCAAACGTTCCAGTGCCTGATGGATTAGGTGCTGCGGGACTTACCGTTTGTGTTTGTCTACCTGGACGACATACTCGTCCCCAGCACTTCGGTGGAGGAACATCTGACCCACCTCCGAGCCCTTTTCACGAGGCTCAGCCAACACGGGCTGATAATCAACCCTGCAAAGTGCCTTTTCGGGGTGTTGGACATTGACTTCCTCGGGCACCGCGTCACCAAAGGCGGGGCAGCACCCCTGCCGGCGAAGGTTGAGGCTGTTGCGGCGTTTCCTTGCCCGCACACGGCCCAGTCGCTCCGTGAGTTCCTGGGGAAGGTGACTTTCTACCACCGTTTCATCGCCCGCCACATTATGCGGCGGTTGTATGAGGCTTTGAAGGGAAAGGCCCCCATCCAGGAGATCGACTGTACGGCGGAAGCTGAGGTTGCTTTTAAGGAGGTCAAGACCGCGCTGGCTCAGGCGGCCCTGTTGGCGCATCCGTCATCCACGGCTCCCATCTCCATTACCAC